GGCGGCGGCTGCGGCGTCTGTGAATCTGGCCTCCTCCTTTCACCAGGTGCTGAGGGAGCCCTCTTGGGACCCATAACTCCAACTCCTTCTCTCCGCCCCCTCAGGTATTTTCAACGCTCTTCTTCCCCAAGAACACCTCCTCCTGGGGTGCGAGGTGCGCTAGTACCGGGTCAGGTGCTGCTGGTCGTCACCCACAGTCCGGGCCACTTCTACTACCTGTGGCTGCGGGTGCTCACAGTCAGCACCCTCTTCTTGCTCCGAGCTGGGACACTTATTCCACCTCCACACCCTCACCCTAGCTGAGCGCCCATTTTCCCAGCCACGACCGGGTCCTGCCCTTTCCCTCTGAGCACCAGCTGGTGACACGGTGCAGAAGGGGAGCCCCGGGGAGCCAGCAAAGGCGCGCTGGGTGTTCCTGTGCGCCGCAGCGCTTTTCCCAGTGCTGTCGCTGGAACCCGAAGCGCACGCGTGGGAGCAGCTCCCTAAGCCACACGCACACCCCAAGTTCTAGGCGCTGCTGTCTGGCTGGACTGGAGGTGCGCTGCGGGGATGGAGACGCGGAGCAGCGCGGGGCGTGACACCGGGAAGGGCGGGTCCTACCCGCAGGGCTTTTCCGGGCGCAGCTTCCCGAGCGCTGGAAGGAAGAGGCAGAAGTCACTACCTCCTGAGTTTTCTATGGCAAATGAGGGTGGAAACGCTGCCTGCCGTCTAGGGGCAATCGTGCTGGAAGTGGGGAGAGGTTACCCAGAGATGTAAAAGTGGAAAATTCATTGCACTGTGTCCTTCTTTATCTACTTTGACAGTTTTTGAGTTAAGGTACGTTTATCTAAGTATAGCCACCCCTGCCCCCTCTTGGTTTCCGTGTACTTGGAACGTTTTTTCCACTCCCTACACTTTTAGTCTACACATGCCCCTACAGGTGATGTGAGTTCCTTGTGGGCAGCACATATTTGAGTCTTGGTTTTGTTTTGATTCATTCATTGACTCTACCATCTTTTAACTGGAAATTTTAGTCTGCCTGTTTATATTTAAGGCAATCAGTGTAATAAGTAAGGACTTGCTAGTGGTATTTTGATGCTTGTATTCTAGTTTTCTTGGTTGTTTCCTCCTTTCTTACTGTCTTCTTTTGTAGTTAAGGGATTTTATGTAGTTGTATGTTTTGATTCCTTGCTCTTTATTTTTAGCGTATCCATTATAATTTTTTGCTTTGTGATTACCATGGGGCTTGCAAACTACATCTTATAAATACAAGTTATTCTAAACAGATATTTTTGACTACAAACAAAAGAAAAAAAATCAACAACTTAGGTTCACCCATACACTCACACTTTGAATTTTTATACCACAATTCCCATCTTTTTATATCACCTAGCCTTTAAAAATTTCTCATAGTTACAATGTTTTTAAATAGTTCTTTTAGCCTTCATGTTAAGGCTATAACTGGATTACATTCTATGGTTATCACATTGGAGTATTCTGAATTTATTTGTGTACTTATCTTTACTAGTGTATTTTATACCTTCCGCTCTTTGCTTTTTATATGTTAGAGAACTATTCTAGCATATTTTGCAGGCCAGATCTTGTGATAAATTCCCTACTTAATTTCTGAAGGACAGCCTTCTTGGTTGGCAGTTTTTGATCTTCAGCACTCTGAATATATCATCCACTGTCTTCTCAGTCTCCACTGAGAGGTCTGGTGTAAAGTGCATTGGGCATCCTGTATATATTATTTGCTTTTTTTTTCCCCTACTGTTGCCTTGAGAACCTCTTCTTTTCTCTTACTTTTAATAGTTCGATAGTAATTTTTAAGGGGTAGTGCTGATTTGTGTTGAAGCTGTTTGGTGTACTTGAATCTTCCTGTATGTTGTAGTTTGGACCTGGAATGTCCCCAAAGGCCATGTGTTAAAGGTTGATTCTAGACTGGCACTGTTGGGAGGTGATGGAAACTTAAGGTGGGGCCTAGTGAAGAGTCACTAAGGATGTGCCTTTGAAGGTACAGAGGGACCCCGAAACTTTCTTCTTCCTCTTTCAGTTCCCAGCCATGAAGGGAGCAGTTGTTGTTGTTGTTGTTGTTGTTGTTTTCCTCTGACACATTTTCTGCCATGCTGTGCCACCACAGGTCCAAAACTACAAGCCGAAATAAACCCCTTTTCTTTGTAAGTTAATTATCTTGTTAAAGTGATGCAAAGATGACTAGCACATGGTACCTAGATACTTGATCTCTCTTGAGGTTTAAACTTTTTTCTGCTATTATTTCATAAAATAAACATTTCACCCTTTTGTTGTTTTCAAGTCCCCTTTGACCTCCAAAAGACCCCTAGACTCTTTCAACGTTGTCCCAAATATCCTATATTGTTAAAGTAAGTTCATTCACTCTAAATTTTCAGCTCCAGAATTCCTGTTTCATTGTAAATTATTTTAATCTCTTTGATACATTTCTTTGATAAATTTTTGAATTGCTTTTCTGTGTCCTGGAGTTTGCTGAGTTTCCTCTAGTCATTTTGAATTCTTGGTCTGTAAGGTCTTCTGTCTACATCTGGTGAGAGTATTTGTATGCCCCTTTATGGCTTTGCGTTGTTGAAGAAGTTGGGTTTTTTTGTTTGTTTGTTTGTTTGTTTCAATCTTCACTGTCCAGCCTGGTTTGTGTCTGTGTTTTTAAAGTTAGGTCTGTCTGGTGGTTTTGTGCAGAATGTAGGATTCCCTTAACTCAGAGTTAATGCCTCTTTTATGACACGAGATGGCGCCCCAAGACCAGGTTGCTTGCAACTATTTTAACTTTGGATGCTCCAATTAAATGGGCCTGAGGAGGGCTTTAAGGGCTCACCCAGGTTGTGGGAAGGCCGGCAGCGGAGTGCCTCTTGCAGTGTGGCTGATTATTAGGAAGCCTCTCAAATTTTGTGTTTTCCTAGGGGACCTCAGGAGTCAGCAGCCCCACTCCACATTTTGTCGTTGGCTGGCCTGGCCAGTCCTACCAGCACTAGCCGCGCTTCGGATGAACTAAGGCGAGGACCCTCGAGGATCTCACTTTTCCCAGTCTAGAAACTGCGACTGGGTGCCCCCGGGCTGGGGGACTTCCTGCCTCTGGGTCAGCTCGAAGGGGTGGATTACGGTCAGAGGTGCGCGTTTTCCTTCACAGCCTTTATTTTAAATTCAGGGCTATACCAGCTGGTGATTTTGCCACTAGGTAGCTGTGATTGGTTTTCCCGGGCGGTTCCGATTGCAGGCAGGGGAGCTGAGCTAGGGCTGCTACTCCGCCCTTCTGGTGACGTCCCTCCTTGCACTTTTCCTTGCAGTTTGTAATTCTGCTCTGGTGCCTTTTCCATTCCACTCCAAGCCCAGCTCAGAGGACATTTCTCAGACATCATATTACAGAAATAAAAGAGCGATGTGTGCCAATATAACAGAAATCGAGCAATGCCAAGTTATAGAAATTAAAGAGTGGGGTCGTTTCCTTTCTCCGCCAGAGGACTTTCTGTGCATTAACATGTGTACCTGTGCACACGTTTATATTGTACTTCAATGGGCATACCACCTGTAAAAGAAGTCCTCCAAAATAAATAAGTAATGCTCCGAGAGAACTGAGACTCCTCTCCGACGCTGGTTTTGCGTGGTAAGAAATGAGGTTTGTAGGGACAATTATCTGCTGATCCTGAAGGTCCCTGATTCTTCTAAAAAGACAGGCTATCAACATTTGCACTGAAGGAGAAGAACGTGTAACAGCAAATCCCGCTATTTAAAGCTTCTTCGTTTAAACAACACACACACACACACCCCTCCAAGAATATTACAATTTATTTTACAAGCATTCTTTTCACCAACTTCCACTTTTCCCCACATTAAAGTGTGGGAGCTCCTTGCTCACAGGGGACCAGCAGGTTCTGTTTCTGTTTCGAAGCTGATCAATGAACACTTTTTGATTTAATGACTGCCTGAGTGAATCTTACTGAAGTTTCTAAGATCAACATTTTCCTGTTATTGCTGTTTGTTTAAAATATGTTGCTTTTGTTATTTTCGGATTGTCAACCTCTGAGAGTAGTGGTAGGCAGGTCTTCCTTTGATCTGACTTGATATCCAAACACATATAACTTACTACTTACTAGTTCACAGTGATGTATAACATTTAACAACTTTTAATTTATTGCAACACAAACACAGGGGATTGCTTTCACTGCTAGTAAATGTGGGATATTATGGATAGAAGCAAAATGTTTCATAAAGGTATGATACAAGTTTGTATCATTTTTTTTTTTGCTAAAGCATAGAACTATTCTTGTATCCTATAACACAGGACCAAGATTCCATTCAGGAAATAGATTTTATACTAATAGGTATGCTTTTCATGAGATCGAGTTTTACTTTTTATTAGAGAAATAGAAAAAAAAGCAAATCTGAATGGCAAAAATTGGTCTCTAAAATTAGAACAACAATTGATGAGACCACCAATAAACAAGTTTGTATTAGAAGATAATAAGGCATAAAATAAATTGTAAAATCACAGCCAATTTTATGGAAATTTTAGTTTTATTAAAATATGATGTTATAAATAACACCTATTTATATAAATGAAAAATTTACTCTTCTAGCTTATTATAATTTTAAAATTAAGGCTCAAATGTGACTGACTTTTTACACATAATTATTTTAAACAAATTTTTATTTTTGAATAATTTTAGATTCATATAAAAATTGCAAAAATAATAGGATTCCCATAGACCCCCAATACAATTTCCCCTAATGCTTAACATCTTATATTATCAAGGTACATTTATCAAAGCTAAGACATCAAGATTGGTACACTGCTACTAACTAAATCATGGATTTCACTTGCATTTCACTAGATTTCTCATTAATGTCTATATAAGTATTTTTTAAAATAGCAGACAGGGAGAGCTAATTTTATGTTGGATTTTAAGAGTCAACAAATGATATTCTTGAAAATGTCTTATTTTTCAATATCATGTTGCATTTATAAATATTTTCTACACTAATCAATGAATGTGAAATGTAATTGACATTAATACAATGATCAGGTAGCTCAAGAACTGTGAATTATTAGATGGAATAACATAGCATATCTGCAAGGTAAATCAAAGTCACATTAAAACCAACTGCTGCTTGTGTGGTAAAAATAAAAAGCTTCATTATCTCTAGCTATACAGAAATGACAAGATCATTATTTAAAAGTGAAAAGAGGTGTAGACTACACTTATTTTCATGATAACTGTGTTTTCTATCATATGGTGCATTTTTCACACCATAAGATAGTCTTATTAGGTGAGAGACACAGGGTTTAGGGGGAACAGAATCTTCCGTAGAAGAGAATGCTATTGGTTTTGTTGTGCCTGATGAAGAAGAGGAATGGATGGTCTGCATTGAATTCAATGGAAGGGAATCCTCTTCGAAAAGCCACCTCACTCCCAGTGCCTGCTGCAGCCTCTGACCCTTGTTCATTTATTTCTACAAAAGCCTTGTGGAAAACATTGGACAGAAACAGGTTTCTGTCTGAAGACATTCCTGAGAAATCTGCTTTGCTCGGGCTAAAGGCATCTGTCATCCCCATGCTGCTCAGAGTGGACTTGAGATCATAACTCTCCTCCAGCTTGAACTTGGGCAGATGCAGCTGCACTTCACACAATTCCATCATGTCTTCACTGGTCCACTCTTTCAGCTTCTCAGAGGTGACCACCTTTTCCACCTGAGGATCAAAACCAACGAAGTCAGGAGAGGGAAATGGTGAAGAGCGACCCCTAGGGATCCCACAGATGAATTGCAATCACTCCCTTCACCCAGGGTAACAAAGGCACACAGCTGTAAATCCTTTTGGTTGTGTAATGATAGCCTTGTGGAGTGGACCCGCAGAACCTTTTGTTTTGTAGGTCAACATGGGAGAGAATTCTTTGAAACCAAAATCTGGGGCAAAATAAAATTTCTATACTCTAAAAATCACAATAATATAAACCCAATAAGTATAAACTATGCCATAAAAGAAAAATTTAAAAATGAAAGCTCCTAAATCTTAGGGATAGTTTTTTTCAATATTAAATATGAGGGTAATTTTATCCTCTTTATATTCTGAATTTTAAAATAACAAATAAATGAATGTGTACATATGAATGTATATGAACATATGCATGTGTGTTTATATATGTATATGTTTGAATTTTTAAATGACATGTTTGTTTCAAAAGCACACACTCTTGCTACTTGGAGAGTTTCCTATACCCAAGCATTCATTGGCTGTTAGTGACATATTTATATATGATGCATATTAATAACATGACAGTATCTTCAGCTTGGGTCCTTGCACACCTAAGAAGAGAAACTTATCTTAGGCTGTGAGACTCATGGGTACTAGTCCACACTGGTCTTTTACCATTCTTTTTAGTTTCACACATTTATGAAACAATTTGGAAATCTTTTCTACATGCCGGTAGGGCTAAGGAAACTTACAACTAAGAGTCTGGCACAGATGAAAGGCCCAGTGCAAGGAAAAGTCATCTACTGCACGAGACACCAGTGTTCATCCTATTAGGCATGCAACTGCTCAGGAATATGGTCTGGCCAAAATTACATCCAGCCTAATAGAAATCTGGCTAATAAACAGCTTAAATAATATCTGAAAATAGCACTAATACAGGGTTTTTTTTTGTGAAAGTTTTGACTTAGAAAAAAAAGTTGTAGAACACACCACACACACATGCACACACAAAAGTGATTAGAGCAATTAATCTTGGGTAGGGGGTATAGATCAATGATAGAGAATCTGCTTAGCATAGCATGAATGAGGCCCTGGGCTTCATCCTCAACAAAACACACACACACACACACACACACACACACACACACACACACACACACATCTTGAATTATACAGTTTCTACCAGGAGACCTAGACTGAAAGATTCCTATGATCAGTCCACACAGCTCTGTACCTGGCAAAGAGAATCTATCTCTGTTGTACATGTGGATCTTTGTGTAACCAGCCCATGTTAGAGGTGTCTATGGATTCCCTAACCTCTCCAAGTAAGAGTAATGTCGACTTTATAGAGCTTTGCAAAGTTTAAACGATACTGTTTAGGTAAAGTACAGAGAGCTCAAGGCAAGTTGGCTGATTGCCTTCCTGTTCAGGAGTTAAGAAGCAGGGAGGCTGAGTCCTTAGTTTCTCCCTGGAAGACAAGGGTGAACGCAGGCGCCATCTTCACCTCGGAGAGACGGACACGTTTACCTGCTTCAGTGCGCTGTCATCATCAGGCAGTAGCACAAGCAGGCTGAGGTCAGAGCCCTTGTAGTCAAGTTGGAGGCCTGTGGCTTGTGGATTTTCAATATGAAAAACCTGAAGCTTCTCTTTCATGAACATCATTTGCACTGGTTTGCTTGTAGTCTATATATATAAAAAAAATAGGTAGCAAAGTCATTGAAGAGATGTTCCACCAAGTTCTTAATTCTTGATCACCATTGGTTCCCAGCTGCCTAGGACATTGGTGAAACTGATCATCCTCTGGTAAATACCAAATAAAGTTATCCAGACCTTATTTTTTGGAAATTCTGAACAGTATCACTGGTAAGAGGTGAATGGGAAGGAAAGTTCCATCTCTAACACTATTCCAGAAATCTCTATAAGTCATAGTAAGGTGGATTCTACAAAATATTTTGAACAACATATAATTTTAACTATGTAACTGTCAATGATCTGGAAACTGAAGAAGATATATTTCACATGCAAACATTTGAGAAAGTATCATAAATGTTGAAATGCACTAAGATGGAAAGTCAAGCAATAGACTAAGAGAAAACATGTGCAAAATGTATCTAACAAAGGACTGGTGTTAAAATATACAAAGAATTCTTAAAACTCAACAAAAATAAAATAAACAATCCAGTTTTAAACATTGTCAAAAGATATTAATGGGCAATTCTAGCTTATGAAAAAATGCTCAGTCATATTTCATTAGAGTACTGCAAGTTAAAGCAACTATTATTATAATGGCAAAAATCCAAACACTAACAATATCAGAGGCTGGCAAAGATATGTTCCATTCATTGCTGGTGGTAATGTAAAATGGAACAGCCACTTTGGAAGACAATTTGGCAGTGTCTGACTAAGATCAACATTGCCTTATCATATAATCCAGCAATTGTGCTTCTCGCTCTTCACTCAAATATGTTTAAAACTTGTGTCCTCACAAAACTTGCACACGAGTGTTTATCTCAATGTTATTCATTATTACCCCAAACTAGTAGGAAATAGACATGCTTCAATAAGTGAGCAGTTAAACAAACTCTGACACATCTGCACAATAGAAAATTATTTAGCAATAAAGCAAAAGGATCTATCAAGATGTAAAAATATATCCAGGGTCCCTAAGCACATATTGTTAAGAGAAATGAGTTGGCCTGAAAAGGCTATTGTTTTACTGTTGAAACAATAAAATGACCAGTGGTTGCCAGGACCTGGGTGGAAGGAATGAGCAGGTGGAGCACAGGGCATTTAGAGAGTGGTGAAACTCTTCTGAACGATTCTACAGTGGTGGCTACGTGACATTATTCATTTGTCAAAATGACAGAACAATACAACACCAAGAGTGAACCTGGAAATATTATCAGCTCCAGAGAGTTAATACTAAGCTGTCAAGATGAGCTAACCAGTTATAACAAGTGTACCACACAGGATGTTAATAATACTGCAAAGTTGACATGTGTTGAAGGGCCGGATATGGGAACTTTGTACTTTCTGAAAAAAAAATTTCTAAATTAAAAAAAAAATGCTCTAAAAATAAGGCATTTAAAAATAAAAGTCAATTGCAAAACAAAACCTTCTGCAATCCAGATGTTGTACACACATGTTATTTATCCATTCTGCATAGAGCTGAGGTCAATCCCAAGGTACCACCCTTATGCTAAGCTGATGGCCATGTGACCAGGGCCATTTATCAGGAGCACCCCAGGATACTGTGCCTGTTTCCAGGTGAGTACAAGTCTGACCCCCACCAGAATCCTTATGGTATCCCAAGCTGTTAGAACAGCAGCTAGAACTTTCCATTTCTAATAGAAGAGTGGAACTAAAAAGCTAAGAATGAAGCGGCTACATTCCCTAGTCACTTAGATAGACTCCATCTTCAGTATAACAGAATGAGGGTGAGGCAGGAAGAAGAGGTGAGGGCAGAGGAAAAGGTGAGAGAGAGACAACTGAGATTACCTGCAGCTCTACAGACCCCACCCATTGGACTGCCCACTTCCTCTTAGGGACATAATCTAATTCCCATTTTGTTGGAGCTAGTTTAAAATGCTTTTCTGTCACTTGTAACCAAATATTCTATCACAAGTAACTACTCAGCTCATTTCTCATTAGCCTGTTGTGCTGTGTGTTCTGCCTGCCCCATCCTTAGAGGATTCCTGCTGCACACATCAACACAGTTGCAGCGGGAGGTCCTCGGCAGTGCTGTTTGTGTGATAAGACCACCCTGGCCTGCACAACTGGAACCCACCTTGGCCAGCAGTTCCCTTCCTAAAAATTCAGATGGGTTGCATCAGCCTGGTCTCTAGAAATGAGAAGGCTGTAGGTAGCCATGTGGCTATTGTGGATCAAAAAGCAGAGAAAGTTACACTTTGGTCTGAGAGAAGACTGACAGAAGAAAGGGAGTTGGAAAAACTTGAGAAAAAAAAAAATCCTGACATTTGAGATCTTATTTCCACTCATATCCCAGGACCCAGCCACATTCCTTTCTATTCTCATTGGATCTTAAATAGTCTCCAAAGACCATGTGTTGATCTTCAGTCGCTGGTGCTCTTAGGAAAGGGTGGGAACATTGGAGTTAGGGCCTAGGGAAGGAACTCAGGTCCTTGGGCATGCCCTTGAAGGGGATGCTGCCATCCTAGCTGCTTCTCTCTCTTTCTTTTCTGGCTGCTAAGTGGTAAGATCCATTACACACCCTCTCCATGATGTCCTGCCTCACCACAGGCCCCAAATGACAGGAAAAGTGACCATGGACTGAAACCAAGAGCCACAGTGAAGCTCTCCTTCTTTAAAGTGATGCATCTAAAATACTTTGTCAGTTTTCTGAAGTGAGTTCCTGTTGCTTGTAATAGGGACAAGCCTATCAGAAAGAAACCTTAATGAAATGAGATCTAGCATTTTAACTGCTTTTACTTATGGAAGGGTAAGAATGGGGTAGGAGATAGCATTGGTTTAGTAGAATAAGAACAGAGCTTACAGTGAAGGGTCTTAGGTTCTGGTTCTGAACTCCTTCCCACTCATTCATGCCTCCAGTCCCTTGGCCACCTTGCATTCCTCAACTGAGAAATAACTATAAAACACACCCTACCCAGCTCAAGGGACCAAATGATAAAACATGTTCATGGTCAGAGAAAAACAGTGACAGGGGAATTTCTGTGTGGGAGAGAACTAAGAGCTTTGCCCAGCCATCCCTTTCCTAGTAAGAGTCCTAGTTTAGAGGAATATATAGTCAGAAAGAAGAGCAAATTTAAAATAGGGTCATGTTACAAAGCCACGTGACAATTCAAGCTGATCTTTCACAAGTTCAGATTCTCACCTTGTTTATTCTGAAAGGCTTTTCTGTGGTATTTTGCACTTGGAATTGATGTTCCCAGATTCCTTTAAAGTAAAGGGCGTTCACCAGGACCATCCTGGTCAGGGAGTCCACAGAGTCATCCGGTAGGAGATTCAGAATTTTTCCTGCAAGAGTAAAAGGACAGATTTCAAATGGCCTAGTAGAAATGCGTCTATTTTAATTATAAAACCAGACTTCCATCTTTCTAGACTCATAAAATTTTCTTTAAAAGTTCTTATTTCAGATTTTCCAGAAACAGGTCCATTCAGGAATTTAAGTCCTATTTCTGTTTAGAGTAGCTATGAGAAAACAGGGAAACACTGAAGAATTAATATGCTGAGTGGCCAATAAGTATTATTTCACATTAAGAATAAATTTGCATTTCAATTATAAAACCTCCCTCTGATACAAGTTGCTTTGTACCTCTATTTTGAGAAGACAGAAATGCTTCGTCTCTCTTACGTCTGTTTGTAGTCACACACTGTGAACTTCTCTGATTAAATCTGAAAGATTGTGACAGTGTCTCCCTCTGCCCCTAAAATATTGCTTTCTGCAATTGTGCATATTATATTATTCTAGCCATTGTTTAAAGTGATCTTTGATAGGCAGCCCCTGATACATTCTGTCCAAACTCTCCACTAAAGCACCTTGAAAGATTTATTAAAAATGCATAAGATCAGGTTTAGAGGTGCGTTATAAAGTCAACATGTTTGATAAATGGAGATAGAACCTGATTCAGCTTCCCCCAGAAACAGAAACTATTCAAAATCTTCTCAACAGTCCAAGTACAGACATGAAAGCGATTTTTAAAATATAGCTTATAGTACTTCATTTAAAAAGGTGATATGGATGAATTTTCATATTAACAGAAAATGCAAGAATTAGTAGAAAACCAAGGGGAAGGGACACACACACATACACACACACACACAAACACATACACAAAAAAAGCCTCATAAACATCAGAACATTCAAGTGGCTACTTCTTAGAGAATTTGAAAACCTCCTTTAAAAACAGGGAATATATCCCAGGCATGTAAAAAGATGGATTCTTTTAAACTTTCAAATTGCTGATAGAGCTCTAACTATTACAGTTTCAGAGCATAAAAATGAAAAGCCCTCTGATTACTTATATCAAGCTAGCACATCGCCAGTATGAAGACACAACCAAGGAAGCACAAAATTGCCACCTACAAACCAATTTCTCTTGTGAATATAAACAAAAAAATTCAAGTTAAACTTAGAAAATAAATATATATTATGTCAGAAGGTAAGAAACATATATCAAGAAATCTATTAGTATAATGCATTATTGTTGTGGTGTGAATATTTGTGCTCCTCCGAAACTCATATGTTGGAACTTAATACTTTACCCCGACAGTGTGGAGATGGGGTCCCAGGGAGTAAATAGGTCGTGGGGGCTCTACCCTCAGGATAGATGAAGGTTCCTGTGAGTGGAATCCAGGATTCTGCTTGTTCCTCTACACAGGAGGACACAGCAGACACAGGAAGGTGTCTTAGAAGAAGAAAGTAAGCTCCCAACAGACCCAGGCATCTTGATTCTGAACCTGCCAGCCTCCAGAACTGTAAGAAATGATTTCTACAATCTACACATTTCCCAGGCAATGGATTTTATCATAGCAGCCCAAACAAACTGAAGCCATTGTTCTTGTGGGTGATAGGAGAAAAATCATCTTGATGGATATAAAAATACTTTTGATTTATTTTCATCAACTATTTCTAATTTTTAAATTATGTCATTGTACATTAAAAAGAATGAGTACTTCCTTAATATGAAAAAGAATATTTTTCTCCAAAACACTTTCATAATTATGCTTACCAAAAAAATACTAGTAGTATTCATAGTCTGTTATGAGTACCATTATTTAATATTTTTATCAAAATGGTAACTCATGTCATAAAGTAAGAAAACTAAATAAGATATGATCGTATAAAAAGAACAGACAAAATTATTATTTGCAGGTAATATGGTAAGCAAAGAGAATTAACTGAAAAGCAAAACTAATAAAGTACATCCAGGTGTTGAGTTTACTCTTACACAAAAAAAATTATTTTTTTCTTATCTTCTAAAAATAAGTAACTAAAAAGTGGAATTGTTACATCCTGGTATGTGCCACATTGGTAAAAAATGATGACTGCAAAATATTCCTAAAAATAGCACTTTATTTCTACCAATGACACAATGATAGGAAGTTCCTATCACTAGAGTACTATTAACAGGTCATATTCAAATTCCATCAACTGTTCCTATAAAATCCTTTAATTTCTGGGCCATAAGTCAATCAAGATCTTGCATTACATTTGATTGTGATTTCTTCATTCCCTTTAATCTGTAACAAGTCCTCATTCATTCATTGTTCCATGACCTTGGCACTCTTTGAAAAATACTTGCCATGTTTGTAAAATGTCCCAGAATTCTCAAGTTTGGGTTTGTTTGTTTCCTCAAGATAATATTCAGTTATGTATTTTTGCAAGAATATCACACTGTTGTAGGTTTAATTTTGACTTCCTTACCCCTGCCAAAGAACCAGTCAAGTTTTATCCCTCGGTACCTAAGAATGTGGCCTTATTTGGAAATAGTCTTTGCACATTTAATCAAGTTAAGAAGAAATCCTCCTGGATTAGGGTAAGCCCCAATCCAATGGCTGGTATCCTTACAAATAGATGGAAATTGATACATAGATGTAAAGAGAGGAGAACACCATTTGAAGATAGAGTCACAAAAGACACACAGAGCCAGTACTGGTGGCACACACCTGTGAGCCCAACTGCTAGTGAGGCCTAGGCAGAGGGATCCACAGCTTGAGAAAAGGCTGACCCTGCCTTGAAATAGAAAACAAAAGAAAGTGTCGAAGATGTAGCTCAGTGGTAGGACATGCTTAGGGTCAATCTCCAGTACCAGAAAGAGAAAAAGAGAGAGACAGATAGACAGAAACACACACACACACACACACACACACACACACACACAGCCATGTTCTCACAGAGGCACAGGCTGCAATGATGCATGGGCACACCAGGGATGCCAAGGATTGCCAGCAACCAGCAAAGCCAGGAGACCATGAGAAAGTGCCTTGCTGGTGCCTTCAGAGGGGGGTTGGCCAGCTGCACCTGGACATCTTGCCTCCAGAACACAGAACATACACCTCTCGGCCCATACTCTAACACACCACCTTATTTTGAAAACTATTTAAGATAATGTAGCATATTTAATGCCCCATTTTTGTTATTTGTTAGTAGTTATAATTTATGTAAAAGCCACAACTACAGCAGCATTTCACATTTCCTTCTTTGCACTTTCCTGCTTCTAAAACCCGGATGCCTCTTTGGAATTAGTGGGCTGTGATCCTTCTCTTGTCTACTGGGTAGAGTAGTGATTGGGATTCTGGGTTTCAGTTGGGACTTACTGGGAAAGCTGAAAGTCTAAAGAGTATGGGAATAAACACATATAGAAGCTTTGAATATTTACACTATGTCTATAGTTCCATTTAGGAGCTGGGGTTGTGGTTCAATGGTGGAGCGCTTAACTAGCATGCCTGAGGCCTTAGGTTCGATCCTCAGCATCCATATTAAAATGAAATAAAGATATTGTGTGTCCACCTACAACTAAAAAATAGATGTTAAAAAAGAGAGATACAGACAGTTACACAAGGCACAAATTCAATTATGCAGCGATGCTGGGAGAACCCTGCACCCAGCCCCTTGGTGACAGTGTACCTTCAGTTCTGCTTTCCACCCAAGAGTTGATCTCCTTTCTGACTTGATCAGAAGCGTCCACAAAGTTAACAGACTGTGGTTCTGCATCAAAATACATTTTCATATCTTCTAAATATTTCTGAAAGACATAGGTAAAAATCTTCTTTTGTAGAGTTTGCCCAAAATTGAGAAATCAAATCTATTTACATTATTAAAAAAAATAAATAAATAAAACCACAGAGATGAACAATGGCAAACTCCTACCCCATCCCTCCCATCTCTCTTTCCTCACTCTCAATTTTGGTCAAAATCTCAACACATCCCTCTTTAAACCCACTAGTCATGCAAAACTCCAGGTGTGGAAGGAAGGTCTGCCTCCCACTGTGCTGGGTCTTCCACAACTTCTTTGGTTCCATTTTTATTCATACTGGGACATGAGGATAAGACGGAAAGGGAGGAGGCTATAAATCTCAGGAGTGACCGCCGCAGCCAAGGGTACTGGGAGTTGAGCTTGGCTTTCTGTCAGGGACACAATCACAGTTAGCTCCCTGGTCTGGCACCTGCCTTCAGTGAACTCTAAAGCCCTGGGAATTAGGATAGTCCCTGAAGAAAATATCTTCTGCTGTGAAAGCTGATTTGTAAGGTGGTTAAAGCTTTCACCCAGCATTCCAAGGAAACAGGTCAGGCCTTGTCCTTTCATCTGGTGGGAGTCAGCACAATGGGCTGTCACCGAGGTTGCCACTATGGGTCCCCCTGCCTTGGGAGCATAATGCATTCCTGTATATAGTTGTGGTATTCCTTCGTGGAGGGCTTGAAGGAATAAAAATAGCAAGTTAATTCTGTTTATGGGAAATGGTTTGAGATTACAAAGGCCAAGTTTTGCAGAATTTTTAATCTAGCACAAAGAAAACTTGACTCTTCAGGAAGCACCACTCCCTGTCTTAACTCAGAGCTGTGGACACGTAAAAAGATGTTTGTATGTCCATGTCCCTTGTTTCCCAAGTGCCCACTGAGCTCAGTCATCTCACCTACTTCAGAATCAAACAGGAGCTCACAAGCCTTCCATTAGTGAAACTGTCTTTAAGACCCATTTGGCTGGCTTTGTGCCCTTTGTAATACCAAATAGCAAGTCCTGAACTCCCCAGAATTCCCCCGATATGGACAGGGATAGCACTGCTGGAAACCACAAAATAGCTTTATTTTACCTGATTGCTGCCCTCTCTAACTTCCTTGCCCTTTGGGTTCAATGCCTGGGTCGTCCTGTTTCTTTCTGATCTATGCCAATGGAAGTGAGGGACAGACCGAGAGAGACACATGGCTGCCTGCCCCACTCTGAGTTCACAGGACAAGGCAGTATAGACTGATGCAGATTCGATCATTAGCGAAGGGGTAAGTTGGCATTGTTGCATGTTCGGTATCCCCAGCGTCTCTAAAGTTCTGATGTGAAAATCACTCCCTACTCTCACGTCTTAGGCTCCACTCCTTTTTCACCTTATAAAACCCTGATCAGGACACCTGGTTTGAGACCCATTAGTGGTTTCCTTTACAACTAGATGCTAAGTGCTTGGTCTAGATAATGGATTACCAGAAAGTACTGACCACATTAAGATTGTCCCTGGGATCTCTAGAGAAATGTGGAACTTTTTACTCCTGATGCCTCTTTGGAATTAGTGGGCTAACTGGATTCACATGGCTCTTTCTTTCCCATTAACTTAAAACAAGCCGTTTGCACTTACATTGTTAAATGGATATGACTTATGCCCATATACTCTGTTGGCTGTTTTAAGTATATAGGAATGGCTGGATTTGACGATTTCTGCAGAAAGTGTCTGGAAGTCAGAGCATATTCCTTCAGCCTTGCTGGATGTGAATTCCTTTAAAAGAAAGGGAGTTTAAAAGATGTTGAACCAGAGCTACATATATGTGTTCGACCTATAGCTAATTAAAATGATTTGGTGTATTGCAAACAAAAGCTGAAATTAATTCTAACATAGACCCAAATGTCTTCTTCAACGTTATCACAGCAAACACTTTATTGTCAATGAAGCATATTTATTCCTTTCTGCACATTCATTTTGCGAAGGCAAGAGCAAGTTCAAAAGTAGAGAATTTTCAAGAGAAATTTAAAAATGAGATGAGACAAGAGACTCTTCTGAAAAGTAGAATATTTTCTGTCCTGAAGAGAATTTCTATAATTTTAACAAGTTTCTAAGAAAGGTTACCCATGAAAGGTTGCTTAAATCAACTACTAAAATACATGTTCTAAAAGATCTTTCCCCGCAACTGTTAAATGGATAGTAAAAGATAATAAATACCATTTTCCTTTTTTTTTCACTTTCAGGACAAGATTTGCTCTCCTGGTGTCTGTTAAATTGGAGAACCTGTAATACCAATAAAAAGACAAGTGAGTACAATTTGCATAGGAATAATCATATGGAATAAACATTTGTAAATATGAGCCTGTCATTCTTATAAATGCAGAGCATATAAATGGTTAAACAAGGAGGCCCTCATTTAACTTTACTAATGTACTAATTAAACTAATATAATAAGTCAAGAGCTGCTTTTAACTAAATTGTTAAAAATCTAATTTATGTTACTAGTCGTTTAATTTTAATGTTCTTATAGGAAATTTGGGATGATGATGACGGGAATAGCCTGAGGTAAAATCATCTCATTTTAAGCTGGGCACCATGGTGCACACTTGTAATTCCAGTGGCTTTGGAGGCTGAGGAAGGAGGATTGCAAGTTCCAGGGCAGCCTCAGCAACTTAGTGAGGCACTAAGCCACTTGATGAGATCCTGTCTCAAAATAAAAAATAAAAAGGGCTGGGGATGTGGCTCAGTGGTAAAGCACCTCTGAATTTAATCTCCAGTACCAGACAAACAAACAAACCAAGAAAAGAAACGAAAAAGAAATTCTCTTTCGTATGTCCCTTGGTCACTTGTATCTATGGTTGTTTCGAATATAAGTCTAGGTGTCAAGGTATGGAGTCTGAAAAGGTTCCCACCAACACCTGAATGGGAAATATTACATTGTGCACATGCAATATTCTATATACACAATGGAATATTATTCAGCCATAAAAGAAAGCAAAAATTCATTGCAACAACACAGACAGCGATGTGGAACATTGTAAGTGAAATAAGTGAGGCACTCATATGAGCAAGTTAGCTAACAAGGTCAGTGTCAGAGAAGGGAGATTAGATGTGATACTATAATAGATTCATTCTGCTTTTGTCCGCCGTTCCCGGCTCACTGCTGCCACAGTCCATGTAATTTCCAAGTGACTAAAATACTGCTGGGGCACTTTTGGCTTCAGAAGCTGCCTCAGAAAGAGAAGTTCTCTCCCATGGACCTTCCCCTGCCCTCCTTTCACCTGCTGCCTTTTCTCCCCAAGGCAGGCCACAGAAACCAGAACTCCTCTTCCTGCACATGAATCACAGAAACCAAAAACACACTCTAACCTCCCTTCACCTCTCTTTGAGCTGTCCATACAGAAGTTCTCTGGTCTACCTTGCCTAGCAGATCCTGACCCCAATCAAAGGGGTTCCCTGTCCCTACAGAAGGAATGCTGCCCAGGGAGTCGGAAAGGAGTCTCAGCAGCCAGCCTGACTGGGCTCCCCTCCGTCCACGAGCAGCGGATCACACTCCTTGTCCAATAGCATTTCTGCAAGCTGTCCACACCTCGGCCATGCCTGCACGGTGAAGGTTCCACTCCAAACCCAAAGACAAGACAGGGGTGGGAGACTCCTGACAGCTGACCACGTGGAGGTTCCTGGAGGGTGGGGCACTGGGCCAGGTGTGGAAGCCTTGTGCCCTGGCGCCACATCTTGCCCTGTACCCTTTGTAATATCCTTTGCCATAAACCAATAAGTGTATTTCTTTGAGTTCTGAGAGCCACTCTGGCAAATTAAGAGAACCCCAAGGAGGCGGTGTGGGCATGCAGATTCACAGCCGGATGGTCAGAAGTGTAGGGCAGCAGCCAGGACTGGCATCTGAATTGGGGTGGAGGAGGCAGTCTTGGGGACCAAGCCTTCAACCTGTGGGATCTGACACTGTCTCCAGGTACAGTGTAGGAACTGAATTCAACGAGACCACGTGCAGCTGGCCTCCGCTGCCATACTGACTGCTTGGTGTGTGGGGAAAGACCCCACGCACTGGTGTTGTCACAAGTGACACAAACTGTGAGAGTCAGCAGGAGAAACTGAGATGGAGCTGGTTTTTGCTCTGTCCTTGATGGGGGTGGGAGAGTGGGGAGGTTGCATAACTGCCGACACCTGGTTAGAACGGAAGTAGAAATTTTAGTGTTTTGAAGCATAGTCCAGGGATGCTGGTTCACAGAAATTTATTACACATTTTAAAAATAACTAGAAGACAGTAGTTCCAAGCTTTCCAACAGAAAGAAATAATAAATGCTCAAGGAAAAGAAAATACTAATTATGCTGATTTGCCCATCACACATTGTTGACATGTATAAAATTATCACAATATGTCTAATATCTAATGTATAATACATACAATAGATCCTCAACATGTATAATGGGTAGACAACTAAAATACAAAAATAGAAAAAGAAAGCAGGCTAGGTGTTGAATTGAGACCACTACTTCATTAATGTAAGCAAAAGCCATCATTGCCAAAATTATCTTGAAAACTCAGGGATTTTAGTTATTTTTTCTAGATAAATGCTTCATTTCACATTGTCTAACACATCTTAAGATACATAGACATAAATTTTGCATTCACCCCAGCATTTCCTTTGAAAGTTAACAGGAAGGATATGGCCATCCCTGTTTCCCCCAGATTATACAATAGAGAAGAGAAGGCAAAAGATAATTCCATTGCCCACATCCTGGGCCCAGCTCACAGTAAGAAATAAAGAGTATCTTATGGAGGATCACACTGACACATAGTAACAGAACAAGGAGCACCTACCTGTAGAAAAAAAATGTGCAGGGTCAATGAATCAGGCTCATTTGCAAATGAGGCTATTAATATCTAAAGCAAGGACAAGTAGCACAAAGAGATGCACTTACATGAAATGTCCCCAAGTTGGAATTCACTTGAGAATAAGCCTGTCATTTAATCCTTTCTAACCAGGAAATCAGTCATTATCTAGAGGTGAGCCAAGGTGCTCCTGTCGTTGTTGTGGTTGTTTTCAAACTACACAATATCTTGTGAGCTACAAGAGTCGGGGGGATCCTAGGCCGGGTACACAGAACACAGGACTGGCTGTACCCACTTCCACAATAGGCACAGAGAAAACCATTTGGAGAAGAATTCTATCATTTGTCCTTTTGATTATTGTAATATTTAAGGCTGAACTTATTTTTAAATTTTTAGTAACAAAATACATTTATTTATTGACAATTTATAATGACATATTCATATTTATTTATGTGTTTATTCATATATATATGATTGTGTACACACATGTACAGCTATTTTGCTATCCATGGCTGGACATATGTATATACATACATGTATATGCTCTACAGATGCTCACAGTAAAACAATCTTTTTTTGTACATTAATATTGTTTTCTTACTTTAATGTTGTTGTTGGGCTCTTTAAATTCATCTAGACAACCAGTAATTAAAGAAACAGCCACAAGGCATGAGGAACAGAATGATTCTTCGTGTGTGTGTGTGTGTGTGTGTGTGTGTGTGTGTGTGTGTAGAAAACTCTTCTGAGAGTAAACGCATGCTGAATAGTTCTATTATCTAAAGTTTGACTCATTATTTCTTAAATCCTTTTAGTCATCAAAATGAAATTGGATTTGTGTTGAACTAAAATTGATAACCTCATCATTTCTCCATTTCATTTTGCCAAAGGACACAGATTTTTTTTTAATGGTTTTTCTAGCAATAATTTTCAAAATGATTTCCTTCACTGGGCTTCATTTTGTGTTCTAAGATTTTTTTTTAAAGTGTATCTCTTAATTTGGACAATAGTGTTATAAAATGAGGGTTATTGGGTTTTCAGAAGAAAAGTGAAAATCCAAAGAAAGCATGTAATTTAAGGGCATCAGGGGACCATTGACCTTTCCCACTCACCTGGGCCATCTGGGCTTCCGTGGAACCTCTGGTGCCCGAATACACCATGGCCAATGAGGTTGAGATGCCCCAGGGAGAGAAGAAGATATTTTTATCCTCAGCAGATTCAGCTAGCTTTTTGCTAAATGCCAGGGCAAACTGGTTGATGGATGTTGCTAGAGAGTCCATTGAGAAACCCTAAGAAAAATAAAGCAAAAGATAGAGAACATTCTAATGTTAAATCCTTCTCATTTATTTTACCTTTATAAGTATATTCTCCCATATATGTATGTATATACCTATATTCACTAGAGCTGAATGAATTTTAGTGAAATTCTAATCCAGATTATTATTTCATATATTAAAACAATAAAGTCCAGAGACTTGCCTTGAATTTTGGTGCTAACATGCATCATTATTAACTGATTCTGATCACTTCACAGCTAAGTCCCAGAACATAGTTTTTTCCCACTTGATTGATTGACATTTGTAGCAGCCCCCACTGGTGTTCATGTATTTATAACTAATCTTTCCAACTACCATGGGAATAAAATCTTCTTCATATACAGCCTTGTACATCCAACAGCACCTTGTCCAGGACCTTGCACAAAACAGGTACTTATAAATGCAATGTTCAGTGTTTGGGCTTTTAGCCATGTTTTATTTACTGAAACTGGAAATCAGGCACAATTAAGTGAAAAATGTTTAGAGAAGTGAGAAAGTAAGACTCACTTGCTTTTCTTCTCACTACTTTCCTTGAACATGGGACTCCTCTTTTTCTTAACTTTTAACTACAAAATTTCACCTCAATAACCCTGATATTTTAAGCTTAAATTAAAATTAAAAATTTAAAGCAATCTCTATCAAAGACATAGCAAAGTTCAATCTACTGTCAATTTATGAACAAATAATTTCTCTAAAAATAACTCAGATTCCTAGGTCTAGGAATGCCCACTTGCATCAGTGATGTGTGGAATTTGGTCCTGCCCTGACAGTTTCCTGGCTCTCTGAGAAACTAGAACAAGAACTAGCCAGCCTTCTCTGTGGCCAAGTAATGGAATCAAGGGTGAGGTTTATTAAGAGTTTTGGTTTTGTGACCTGGAGTTAACAATGACACTGTTGATCCCTCCCAGAAAGGCTTTCACTTAACCAAACAGCTTCCCAGCCTCTAAATCATGCCCTAGGTGTGGCTTCCAGCTATTCCCAAGGCTCCTGATGATCACAGGCCAAAAGAATATGATTCTAAAAGAAACCCACACACATTCACACCCTCTAGATTTGTTGTATTTCTACACCCTCCTAAAATGTTGGAAACTCGCCTTACTTTTTCTTGACAAACAAAATGGCAACTTAGAAATTACTTCTCTACTTCCTTTAAGAGTATATTCATTCAAATGAGGTTTTGGTTACTGCCAAGATAGTAAGCTTTATCTTTTTAAAATTCATGAATTACATTAACATGGAAAACATTTGGCTTTGTGGCCAAACAACAACATTCGCCATGAAGGGGAGAGAAAGTAATATTTTAGGGCCTGGGATTTTTATGATTCTACCTACAATTTATGGTTTTTCTAGTAATTCACCTCCAACAAATTCCTGACAACAATAAGGCTCTCTAAAGAAAGAGCCAACTACTTGTGAAAAGTTTATCTCCAGTTATCTTTATCCATACTAATAACCTCAATCATGTATCAAGGCTAATCTGGAACATACAAGGACAACAACCCCTGCTTCTTTTAAGAAATTTAGGAAATAATAAGCCAAACATCTAATTCGACAGTCAAAAGCACTTTCTGAAATGTGCATGATTTCGTGATTAGATTTTACCAGAAATCATTTTCAAAACGAATAGTTCTTTTATAGTCTTCAGGAGCTATAAATTGACTACATGCATATGCGTGCGCACGCACACACACACGCATGTTGAAGAAAAATAAGACAGTAAGAAAATAGTGTCATTCATAAAAATGTCTCATCATAGATAGACAGACTTCTAACATATCAGAGTTAGAAAGAACCTTAAAGTGCCTAATATATTTCCATTTATTCACTAAGAAACTCGTGACCAAAGAGGCTAATGAGCTGGCTGAGGATGCACAGTTAACTAACACAGAGCCAAAACTGCAGCTCCCAACTCCCCAATGTTTTTTTAGCCAATGCAGCTTATTGCATTTAAGAGTTTAAAGGTAAGAGAGATTGGGTGATAAAAGAGGACTAACAGGAAGAGAAACTGAACCCGCCCAAGTTTAAGACTCTTTAACTTGTACAGAAAAAAATCTTAGGGGATGGAGCCTAATTAATTATTTCTGGACTTTTTAAAAGGGGGGCAAGATAGTCTTGATCCTTAGTTTTCTAAGCTCTATGACAAAGAAGGAAAACACATATAAACATTTTTAATCACAGAAATATTTACAGTACCTTATTTTCTTCTGCCAGAGCAGAATGGGCAAGTTGTTCCTTTAGTAAGAGATTGTGGCTGAAGAATTAGGGAACTTTTAACTGAAGAAATTTTTTTTAAAAAAATTGTTGCACCTCCTTCTTCGGAGCCTCACCCTTTGATTCGCTCTTTCTTTGGGGCTTATCTTAGCAGGAAGTTTAAATAAAAGGACAAAGAGACAGTTGAGACCTTGCCTGCATCATTTAATTACCCACATTTTCCATGTGGTCTGCATGTAGAGGCCTGAGTCCTGACAGAATTTCTTGCTTAATCCCCTGCGTCGCCTGCCAAATAAGGACAGTTAACATGGTTTCCCCTGGTAGACTTAGAAAATAAAAATGAAAACAGAAGCCTTCAGATTACTGGAATTGCTATGAGTAATGAAAGAGAAACTCTCAATCACCAATTGTTCCCTGGTCAATCTGTTAAAGTTGTTCTTAGAACAGTATGTGGTGGGCACTTGGGAAATTTCTCTGTATTTGAGGCCTTGATGTGGAACCCAAGGGTGACACCAGTGAGTGGGGTGACAGTGCCCCCCCATCAGCAGCAACAGCGGGGTTGTATCAGTGTTGTGGGCACAGTGATGGGGTGTGTGTATTTATTACAAGGGAAAAACAAACAGGACCCTTGTTTCATGCGCATGTGCAGGAGGAATTGTAAGGAGAAGCAGGAGAGGACAGGAACAGGAGGAGAGATCCAGAGGAGCAAGGGAGCGGAGGACGCTCTCTGTTTGAGATGCTCTTTCCTTTTTCTCTTCACAGGAGCACTCACACCTTCTGGTAAAGGGCTCTAAGTTTGCTATTTGAAAGTTGGCGTGGAGCCCACAGTGGAACGTTACTCAGGGGGATGAAACCTGTGGCAGGAAATTCAGGATGTCTGCTTGGCTCAGGGCGGGTAGATATGAGCATGCATGGGTGGCCCCAGGGCTATTCTTAGCTGGAAGTGTCCTGTGGAGGCTCCAGATGGAAGGGCAGTTTGCTTTGACCACAGCAGCTCAGAAGAGTGGCCTGAGCTCCATGGCTGCTCAGCCAGGAGATGGCTGGAGTCCTGGGGTGACACAGCATCTCTGTGGATTCTGCCTGATCAGCCAAGAAACTGTGCCTCTCCTTAAAGTCACGGACTAAGTTTTACTCACGTTTTCCCCAAACCCGTTCTAGATTCTTTCCCCACTCTTGACTATAAACATCCCTATTTATAGAAATACTGCCTGTGTCGTGTTCACATGTTATATCTCGTTGCCTGTTAGGGGGTGGAAAAAGAGAAAGGGGTGATCAGGTCCTCTGTTGAGTTGTATTGGCGGCATTGCCGTATGTTGCTGGTAGGGAGAGAGAGAGAACGAAGTGAATGAGAAATAGGGGGCAAGGACAGATTGGGTATAGCGTTTTTATGTTATCCATGCATTGGACAGTGTGGATTTATAAGGTATTCAAAACACTTTAGAAAGAGAAAAGAGCTCCAGGTGCATCAGATCATTCTGTGGGAGAAGAGGAGAGCCAGAGTAGGCAGTGGCGTGGAGTTGTTGACAGCTGTCTTGGTCTGCGAAGGTTGCCATAACTGAATACCGCTGGCTCCGCAGCTTAACCAGGACATCTACTCTCCCACGGGATCATGTTCTCAAACATGCGTGATCTTCTTGATATAAGCAGTATTTCTATAAATAGTGGTTTAATCAAGAGGTGAGTGAGAAAGGATTCTAGACAAGGTTTGGCAGGAAACGAGTAAAACTTATGTAGTGGCACCCTCTCCTCCACAGAAAATCTTAATTAAGCTTCTCTAAAAATCTTCATCATAACTGATCTTAGGACTATCAGCAAAAGAGTTTCTACAAAAGAGTCCAGTAAAGTTAAACTTCTTATTTCCTGATGGTCTTTCTTACAATCAATCAATTTGGCCACAGACCTGAAAGAGATCAGCACGACCCGCTTTACTATTTTTTTCATAAACATCTATGAACTATCTAGTGTATGTGTGTGTGTGTGTGTATAATATACATATATACTTTACAATTGGTAAAGGTTTTCAAGGGAAGCATCTGCAGATGCAGAGTGTGATAAGAAACACAGATTCTCTTAACTAGCCTCTGGCCTCTGCCCAAGCTTCACAGAGATGTTTGCATTTCAAAGATAAGAGCAGAGGTTACTAATTGGTCCCCTGGTAACAGCTGGCAGGGGAGGGAAGAAAGAGGAGAAGAAGCTGTCCCCTTCTCAGGCGCTGTCCTTGAAGGGTTAAAACTTGCCCAGAGGAGTAAAAAAAAAAAAAAAAAAAAAAAAAAAAAAAAAACCCTGCTTTTTGTGTGAACTTCTGAGTCCCTCTGCTTACATGCTGGTTATGAACTTCTGAAACTGCCTGAACTCAAGGCTCGGGGGAATGATTGATTACAGTGAAAGCTAGACCCTCTGAACCTGGCTGCAGCCAAATAAAACTGTTTCCTGCTATCTTCGGTGTCCTGCCTGTCTGTCCACTTCTACACTTAGTCTGTGACTTTAAGAAGATGGGAACAGTTTCTTGACTGATCAGGTAGAATCCACATCCATACATCAGTGTCACATAAGGAACTCCAGCAGTCTTCTTGCCAAATAAATTTATTCTTATTTATTTAGCTGTGAAGGCTGGAAGCCTGTTCACAGTGTCAGCATTGCTGATGCAGGCGGAGGCCCTCGCCCTGGCTGCAGGTGGCTGCCTTTCTTGTATATCCTCACAGGGCAGGGAAAAGGCTCTGATCCATTCATCTCCCTGTGAGGGCATCAGCGGCATCACAGGACTTCGCCCTAATGCCCTAGCCTAACTCTAATCACCTGCCAAAGGCTCCTTTTTTCATACATCATCGTGTTAGGGGGATTAGAGTTTCAATATATGAATTTTGAGCATTGGAGGTGCAAGCATTGAGTCCGTAGCCATGGCTGAAGGCTTCTGAGTACTGGAGCAAGAGTCAGGTCTACAGATGCAAAATCTGCTAGTGAGATGAACAGGGCAACTTAAAAAGCAAAGCAATACTACTTCAGTTAAAAACAATAAATCTTAATACAACTAAATACCAAAAATATAGAAAGGAAAACAAGAACCATAAAGGGCATTATAAGAAGTACAAAGTGCAAGAACTACCTTGGTACTTTCCCATCAGTATCTCGAGAGCCAAAGGATGATGTCATCATATCCCAAAGTGCTCGAGAGCTTTGAACCTCGAATCCTGCGCTTGGATTCTGTCCTCAGTAGTGGTAGTGAAAGATCTTTTAACACTCTCCAAAACAATTTGGAAAGCAATCATCTACCTCTTTGCTGAATGAATTATTAAAATACATAGAAAAATGGATACAAAAATATATAGGAGAAGCCAGATACAGTGGCACACTCCGGTAATTCCAATGACATGGGAAGCTGAGGCAAGAGGATCACAAGTTAGAGGTCAGCCTCAGCAACTTAGCAAGACCTTGTCTCAAAATAAATAAATTAATAATAATAATAATAATAAAAAGGGCTGGGGATGTATCTCGGTTGTAGAGCGACCCTGAGTTCAATCCCCACTACTTCCCCAAATACATATATAGAGTATTTGTATGTATATATCACATATATAACCCCTAAATTTTTAAAAATATACAATTCAAGCTTTAAAAATTAATTGAATAACTTGGGACTTAAGGCAGGAGGTTCAAAGCCAGGTTCAAAGCCAGCCTCAGCAACTTAGCAAAGCCCTAACCAACTTAGTGGGACCCCTTGGTTGAATCCCCAGAACCAAAAAAAAAAAAAAAAAATTATTGAACAGCTTTCTGTAATTCTGTGGATGTATCTGACAAGCTACACATACTCATAAAGGCAACAATTATCATGATTGTTATTTATTAAATGTGCATTTAACATTTATTAAACACTACATATGCCATTTCTATTTTAATCACATAATATGTATGCACTTAATTAATTACGAGTTCATAGCAACTGCATGAAAAATGTTACAGTAAAAGAAAACCAAAGCAAAAAATTGCACCATACTTGACCCACAGTTAGAGTCCTCTAAGGTTAGAACTGGGATTTGAATGCAGATTATCAAAGTCCCAAGTCTCCTTCCTAAGGGTCAACATCACAGGGAGGGGAGCCTGGAATACACTTTCAGAATCCAGCCCACTTCTGCAGCCAGGCTCTGCTGCCAGTCAGATGCCCCCAAACCTGTGACTTGCTTATTTCTTAGGTTTTGAATTATGTTCTTCTCTGCCCTTGACCTCAGCAGCATTCAGTGCTGCTCCAGAGAAGCACCCTCAGAAGGAGTCCCTTGTGTCTCCCTCCTGCTCTTACACCCAGTCCATCTCCTCTGCTCTCAACTCTCAGCTCAATGACTGTGACCTTGATTCTGTGTCTGGAGCCTTGTACCTGGTGGTTATCCCTAGTGTCACTGAGATTAGACACTGGTGCCACCAAAGGACTTTCACCCAGACTGTTTGTCACCCTTGCTCTGCTTTTTGCTGATGTGAGAAGCTCTAAAGCATGTTTCACAGGACCCCCATCTCCCTCACCCTCAACGCTGGGTCTCTCTGCAAGATGGGTGGTTATGCCCTGGGCTCCTTTATCCTGCCTATGCCTTCAGGGTTCCTGCAAAGGAGTCATGATGCTCAACTCCTGGGCATCGAGGTGCTATAGTTTAGATCTGGAATGTTCCCCAAAGGCCCATGTATTAAAGGTTTGGTCCTCGGCTTAGTGCTACTGGAAACCACCTTGGCAGTGGAAGCCTTTAAAAGATGGAGCCTAGTGGGAGGTTTTAGGTGATTGAGGGTGTGCTCAAAGGGTATTATGGGATGCTATTTTCTTCTTTCTCTTTGGCACCCTGACTATGCAACATTTTTGTTTGTTTTGTGGTGCTGGGGATGGAACCCAGGGCTTTGTGTGTACTAGACAGGTGCTCTACCATTGAGCTACATGCCCTGGCTTGAACTGAGCACCTTTACTTCGACACATGCTCTCTGCCCTAAGGCACTGCCTTACCACAGGCCAAAAGCAACATGGCCACTGGCCATGGACTAGAACCTGTGAAACTTTGAGCTCAAATAAACCTTTCCCTTTTAAAGTTGATTACTGAGTTGTAACCAACAAGTATTTTGTTACAGTAATGGAA